TATCTTATTCCGGGAAAGAAGGAGATTAAATTGTGCGGCAGCATTTTGGCAATGCTCAGAATGAAACTCCCACTTGTGGCCAGCAAGCTGCCAGCTGTCCTCCGGACAATTAATTGTGCACAAGTACATATATCATGAAAATATATCATGACAGATGACTACCTCTAAAGAGAATGAAAGGCAACCATGACTCCTTTAGACGAGGAAATGCATCAGTTTGGGGGGAAGCGTTTCCTGGACAACTGGATCCATCTACTTGAGAGATGAAGCAAAAACCTAGACGTGGAGTTCCCAGTGCATCAGTTTGATGTTGGGAAATCAGTATGGAAGAAATGCAATCTTACTCATAGTCACGAGCTATGCTCTTCAGAGTATTGCATGTTGATGTCAAACATACTATCTAGAAAGCTTTTCAACATGGGTTTTTTCTGTTGCTGTTCATGAGTTTGGCCTTTCCTTGCTCATTGGCCATTCCAATGATCCAGGGCATTAATTTTTTATCTTTCTTATGACAGAGAAGCATGCACATTCTCTGGGAAGACCCAGGGAAACCCTTCCTTGTATCACTTTGGCCTAGTATTATTGGCCAGTTTGGATTTTGCCATTTGATTCTGATGCTGTACCTATGCTCAAAGAATTTTTAAAGAAAGACTCTTTTGGTGGAAGGATCCTTGGCATTGAGAAGTTTGTGTTTTTTCAATTTTTCCCTAATAGACTGCCCTATCATCTAGCACTCAAGGTTGGAGATCAGGCTCAAGTTTTTTCTTTCTAAAGATGACAGGTTTTACTTAATCAGTAGTTACAGACTACTACTGTACAACCCCAGGAACATACATTTTTAGACTTCCTCAACCATGTTCAAACTCATACAGATATTATAAAGCCATTTATCTACACAGAAGAGCTATTCTTTTTAGAAGGCCAGAGTTAAAAGCATCATGGAAGAGGATACCTGTAAACTATAGATATACTGAAAGGGTAACAAACAGATTTCCAAAATTTGAGTTGAAGTTGATGTAGTGTTCTAGCACAACAGAACCTACTAATTTTTTCCCAAAAGTTAAACAGTTGTCACATAAAATATTTTCCAATTTCCAAAATTTGAGTTGAAGTTCATGTAGTGTTCTAGCACAACAGAACCCACTAATTTTTTCCCAAGAGTTAAACAGTTTGCACATAAAATATTTTCTAATAATGTCACCCAAAGAATGAAAATAAATGACTGATTATTAGAAAGAGAATCTCAGTGCTACTGATATTAGCCAATTCACTTCTGTATAACCACTTGCATATCTTCTATTTCCCAACATTTAGTTGGATGATAGATGGATCACAAAGCATAAAAAATGAACTCTGCATATAAGAATGCAGAAATATATTTTATAATTACTTGTAAAATAATTTGAGCAGCAGTATTTTTAAATATAGAGACCGATAAATTGTTTTAGATTTACAGATTTAGACAATACAGATATTTATCAGCAAAGACATCACTTAATACTTTATATTTGAATGATAATAGAACATGTCTACAACTTTGAAGATGGTTTTAATGAAGTAATTAAGCTATTTATATTGAAATAAAATAATTTCTCTTATATGTAAAATATATATTTTGCTTACAAATAAAAGTTTTCTAAAAGAAACAATTAGGATCTGAGAAAAAAAAAAAAACGATTGGCTTGCACACTGGCTCAAAAAATTCCAAGATCTAATTCTTGAAATGAAAAAAAAAAAAGGCACATATATTATCTTTTGATTTTCTCAGTTCCATAATTTAATGAGCACAAGGAAATGATACATGTAAATGAGCTGATCTTAGAGTAAGTGTCTCCAATTTTTGTTACCTCAGTTTTCTGGGCAAATAACATCTATTAGTTCTTATAATCTATTAAAGAGAGGCCATTCAATTTGGTCTCCTTTTTCGTAGGTCAGTGATACATTCATTCTAGTCCAGAGAATTCATTGTCACCCTTGAGGTTGGCCTCTTCCTTCCATGTAATCACCCTTTGACAGTCCTCATACTCAGGAAGGTGTAATACTCCACTACATCCCCTTATGTTCTCTCTTCAATGGCAAAATAGTACGCTGATTGCCTCAATAAATGCAAGATAGAATTTAAGGCCACTTCTCAAACCTTAAGCTATTAGTAAGTATGAGGCTAAGTTATTTCTTTGTTATAACTCTATTAGGTTCATAAATTTAACTAATTTATTATAAAATCGGCAATTACATAGAAATGTATACAAACCTTTTAGATTCTATTCTAAAAGTTATCTTTTTCCTATTCCCTTCTTTTTTTTGGAAACTGAAGAAATGTGACCAGTTTGGGAGTATCTTAACTTTCCCTTCGATGTCATGGTGTAATGTCATCTTGTTACTGACTTTCCCTATTGACATTTTGCAACATAAACTTATTGTCTTTTGACTGGTAATAAATCATTCAACAATGCAGCAATAGAAACCAGTGTTGTGCCTGCACACATGGAGCACAGTGTGCTGAAGGTTCTAAGTACCAATGAAATAAAATTCACATGTAGTAATTTCACTTCTGTAGTACAAATAACTAATGTCTGTCAACCTTCAGAATGAGCTGATAGTTATTCAGCCTTTTAAGGAACATTCATTTAAGAATCCAAAAATGCTACATTAGTCAGAACCTAATACATCAATATCTTTACTTATGTATCACAATTAAAATTAATTTAATTAAAATTAAAAAATTGTGCAGACATAATATATTGTTGAAAAGAGAAACCACATGAACAGGAGTTTGGAAATACCACTTTTGAAGTTCACCGAACGTAATTAGCAACATAGCACTAATCTTAGAAAAAAATGAGAGTTGGAGAGGATAAAGTACCTAATATTTTTGTGGGCTTTATTATGAACCAGACATTATTTTAAGTCCTTTACATTTATTCTCTCATTTAAAGTATGCACAAGCAGTATCCTCATTTTACAGAGGGAGAAACTGAGTTTACACAGTTAGTTGATGATAGCACCAGGAAGTGAACCCAGCCATCCTACCCAGGAATCTAGGGTGCTGTCCCCCAACCATGGTAGAGATACTACCTCAGAGAATAAAGAGGAGTTATTTTATATATTCACCGAAAGGGAAAGAAGGGAAAAAACCAAAAACAATCAAATAAATATAACTTTTGAAATCAGAAAGAAGATAATTTGAGAGAAAGGCATAGGAAGAAAGATTCCTGAGGGAAACAGTTGAACCTCTATTTTTTAATATTTATGAATATAAGAAATATATGCATACCACATCTCATTCCAGAACCCTCAAAGTTGGTTCTTGTACTTACATGATTCTTGTATAGCATAATTTCCTCCACTTAAGCCACACAGTTTATTCTGTATTATTATTTACTAACATTAAGAGTTCAGAATATCTTTATAAAATTTAACAAATTACAATATTAATTTATACAAATATAATATTAATTTATTAATGAGAAATATTTTAATGTAAACATTAGAACCATTTTAAAAGCATATGTATATGATGCTAATTTCAAGTTAACACTGTACTATAATATATAAATTATAGTCATATATTAAAATTAATACAATTTTTCTAGCACTCTCTTTGTTAGATTTTTATGATTTTTTACTTCTGGAAAAAATCAAATCTCCAAAGAATAAAATTCCTTTTTGCTAAATTGAGTTATAATTTTTAATATAGGTAAAGTGATTCAGTAAGTTTTGTGAACTACTTATTCAGAAATTTTTTTCCTTTTCAAAATTATATTGTTATATGTCTTTTTGTCATATTATCGATGATTACACTAACTGACAATCTCGCTCAGTTTTTCCATTTATAAAATGTCTTGGGAAATATATTTCATATTAATGACTTTGTGGAATAGTATAATAAAAATGTTAATTTTAGATAAAGGTATCCTGTAAGAACAACAAAGATGCATGTTTAAAGTTTTTTTTTTTTCCCTGTAATATCTCCCGGCTCTAAGCCTTTAAAAGCAGCTCTTAAAATTGTAATATTCATGCTGAAACTTTACTGATCTTCATTAGAAGTTCATATATTCAGGTCAAAAATCTCTGTGAAAAAATACAATTATCTAAAGTGACTATTTATAAATACTGAGGAATTCACACACCATTAAGATGAACTAAGCTTTTTTTTTTTTTAAGATTTTATTTTTTCTAGAGAGAGAGGGTGCATGAGTGGGGAGGAGGGACAGAAGGCGAGGGAGAGGGAGAGAATCCCAAGCAGACTCCCTGAGTGCAGAGCCCAATACAGGGGCTCTATCTCAGGCCCCTGAGATTATGACCTGAGCTGAAATCAAGAGTTGGACACTTAACCCACTGAGCCAGGCATCCCTAAGCTATTCTTGATGATGAAAAAGAAAAAGTTTTTTTGTTTTTTTTTTAATGTTCTTCTTCTGCGTTGGGGGGTAAAAAATTCTTTCAATAAAATCTGTGACCTTTAGAACTAAAATGGACAGCAGTAGAAAAAGCTAATACAGTCCTGCCATTTTACTTTTGAGCAAAATAAGTCCCAACGAGCTAAGCAGCTTGCCCAGGGTCACACCACCAAGGTGGCAGAGACAAGCGCCCTGCCTCGCCCGTAGCTCCGGTCCTTACCACACCACCATACCTCACGGTTCCCACAAAGGGAAGAGACACAACAATTCTCATGAAGAAGGACGTACCATTGATGTACTCTAATGTTTTGTTGTTGTGGTGGTTTTAAACAAATTGGGGCCACGCCTCAATGCCGATCATACCTCCCCAACTGGAAAAGTGTGGTCTTCTTGCACGTTGTGTGCCATCCACTGCTTGGAGCTTCTCTGTGCTAGGAAGTACTTATAATTACTTCACTGTGAACTAGCTGGTACAAAATCGATCATGTTCTTATCACGCTATATCAGGACTGCAGATCTCAGTTACTAAACCCGTTGGGCTTGTTTTCTTTCTTGTTGCCAGTGACTCTCATTATTTTCCAGCCTCCCAGCCCTGACCTGGCTGATAGAGATCAGATGGTGACTGGATAGAAGCTGCCCCAGTCCTGGGTCCATGATGTACGCGTAAGTACTCAGCTTTTCTCAGTCAGAGTTACCATCAGGGGCAGAGTTTCACAACTCCTGAGACAGGTCAAATGTTGGCTGGTGGAGAGTGCTTTAAAAATAAAGGGTTTTTTTGTTTGTTCTTTATGTGTGTTACTGTATTTTGGGTTAAAGTTTATTTTGTTGCTATTTCTACATACAAGAATTTTTTTTAAACAAAAGGAAGCCAACATGATTCTTTCTAAATAATAGAAATAGAAATGATGTGCAGTAATATATTTATCTATATTATGTTAAAACATTTAGAAAAACCTATGCTTCAAAAGATTAATTTATAATAGTTTAATTTCTTTGGTATGATCAATAGCTTGCTATAAATTTTTGTCTTATATTGCTTTGTGAAGTATATTCTGGGAAAACTTGAAATATAAAAGGAGAGTTTATTGGAATTTCATTTTTAGTTCTAAATGGTAGCAGTAAGATTATATGTATCATGAATAAAGGATGAAAATTAAAATATTCATATCTAAATATCTAAATAATTATTGAGTTAAAATCTACAGTGTATGTGACATTTTCTCATAATTGAACTCCAAAATAATTGATCAATTAATGAATTTAAGGTAAATAGATTTGTATATGCATATACAGTTAGGTAATTTCAGGCTATCATTTTACACACTCAGAAATGAATAACTAGTATTTGATATGAGTGATTTCATTCAAACACCTGTTTAGTCTATAACCTTGCTTCTCAAAGAGGTTCTTGACTTCTCTATAGACACTAATTTCCCATGTGGTCTGCTGACTGATGTTTCAAACTTAATCATGTTTCTGTGATCATTATAATTGTACAGTCATTTGATTTTGTCTTCAATGAAGTATAATACTTTAAGCCTGAAGGCTCCAGCACTCTTAGATAATGAGTGTTCTTGCCCTTCCTAAATTACTCCGAAATAATAGCATGAGCCTGAGGAAGACTATCTATTTCATGCATAGAGCTTCTCCCCAAAGGCCCTTTCAGGACAGCATGATATAGCATATTATTGGTACTTTTTATTAAATATGAGAGGTGTACTTTTTTTTAAGATATATTTATTTATTTTTATTTATTTATTTTTTTTTTTAAAGATTTTATTTGAGAGAGAGAATGAGAGACAGAGAGCACGAGAGGGAAGAGGGTCAGAGGGAGAAGCAGACCCCCCGCTGAGCAGGGAGCCCGATATGGGACTCGATCCCGGGACTCCAGGATCATGACCTGAGCCGAAGGCAGCCGCTTAACCAACTGAGCCACCCAGGCGCCCCAATATTTATTTATTTTTAGAGAGGGAGAGAGAACAAGTGGGAGTGGCAGGGTGGGAGGGAGAGAGAGAATCTCAAGCAGACTCCACACTGAGCACAGAGCCTGACATGGAGCTCGATCTCACAATCCTGAGATCATGACCTCAGCTGAAATCAAAAGTCAGACACTTAACCAACTGTGCCACTCAGGCGCCCCATGAGATGTATACTTCTTATTAAATACGAGAAAGTGTTATTTCTTCTTTTTGAAGATTATTTATTTGAGAGAGAGAGAGAAGAGAGAGGGAGAGAACACAAGTGGGAGGGAGGGTCAGTGGGAAAGAATCTCAAGCAGACTCCCTGCTGAATGCAAAGCCTGATGTGGTGCTTGATCTCAAGACCCTGAGATCATGACCTGAGCCAAAATCAAGAACCGATTAACTGCCTGAGCCACCCAGGCAGGCATCCCTGGAAGTGTTATTTCTAATTCATTAAGATAAGGACAGAGTAAGACAAACTGTGCAGACAGAAAAATTACTTTTATATATAACAAACATTCATAGAATTATGATATGCTAACAATTTCAGTTTTAAAGAATTGGGAAAGCACTTGAAGTTCTCTCATTCTCATTTTGCTCAGAATTCTGTGGTATGGCTTTTATGTCAGTCTGATTCTCCTCTTCCCAACTTCTGGTATCATCTCCATTCACTCACTTTCCCACCCTAAAAGTATCTTTACAGACACATGAAATTTCTATATTTATTGAAGCCTCATCAGCTTTGATCCAGAGTTTATAATTCTGAGGATTTTAAGTATCTCTTCTAATTGGATTCTAGATCAGTATTATTTTTAACACATCCTCTGTCAAAAAAGTGGATTGTACCATAGAGATAAAAAGGTTGGCAGTGGGTTCGTTGACTTCCTTAGTAAAGGTATTTTGCTCAAGGGCCAAGAGTCTCAGTCTCAAAGAATGAACAAATTAGATGATATAGCTTCGTAGAAGTTCTGTTTTTCTCACTGTGGTGTAGTTGAAAGAGTACTAGCATGAGGTTTAGATGTGTTCTAGATCCAGCTTTGCACTCATTTGTCTGGACAAGTCACTTACCTCCAAGACTTCACTTCTTTTATATGTAAAGTGTGGAGAGTTTACACTAACATAAATGGAGGAGGGGTTGTCACCATTAATGGGACTTGAAATCATTTTTGTGGGTAAGCACGAAGCTATTTTATTGATTTAGTATTTGGTTTATTTTGGTATTATTCATTTTGGTTTTTTTATTTGTTAAATTAAATAACTGTGAAGTAATATCTGATATTAATTTTGTTATATTTTTACCATATCATAACTAGTAAGTCTAAGTATTGTATTGTGGAACCATTGTTTTAGATATATGATTATGTGTGCATTCCATGCTGTGATGTAGAACGTTTCTTACTGTGGGTCACGGTCAAAAATATTTTAAAAACACTGCATTAGCCTTAAAGTCCTTTTGAATTCTGTGATTTCAAAAGACTTATTAGCTAGTTAATATGGAGGACATTAACTTTCTTGAGGTTCTAGAGAACCATTAAATTATCCCAGAGTATAGATTTTTTTTTCCCACTAGTCGCTATATCTGGTGCCTCCCACAGGTGATGCAGAAATAAGAGATATTGTGAGCAGCAATATAGATACTTTAGTGGCAAGAGGCCACACCCTGATGGCACAATCTGACAAATGTGAAAAAATAAGTATAAACAATGCTATGGGGATACCCATTCAATCTTATAAAGGCTTCTCTCAACATATAATGATTGAGTTTAGTCTAAAAAAAAACTATTTGAAATTAGTTGGAGGAGAAGGAGGTAGGGATCCTGGGCTGGGAGAAGGCAGCCCTTGCAAAGGTGATGACACAACATACAGTGGGAAATAGATGTTGGAAATCATGAGAAGAAATGAGTGATCGTCAGACTATGGAGGGTCTTTTGTATCAGATTAAAATCTCTGAACTTTATTAAGAGAGCTGAGTAAAAATTTAAGCACAAGGAAGAAATGATAAAATTTGTGATTGAGAACCACTAGGGTGGACCAGAGCAGCCTGGTGGTTCTACTGTTTTCTGGTACCATTGCAGAACTAAATGAAGGGAATGGCATGGAGACTGCCCACGTACAAGTTGTTTCTTCTTCCTAAAATGAAAATTCCTTCTCACAGTTGATGAAACCCCATATCTTCCTCGAAGATTCTAATCAAAATTACTGTGAAATTTTTCTCCTACCTCACATCTTATGTCTTAATTATTCCTGAAGCACAGCCATCCTGTTAAAAAAAAAATCACATAAACAGGGGTGCCTGGGTGGCTTAGTTGGTTAAGCCTCCGACTCTTGATTTCAGCTCAGATCATGATCCCAGAGTCATTAGATCAAGCCCCAGATTGAGTGCTGGGCGTGGAGCCTCCTTCAGATTCTCTCTCTCCCTCTGCCCCTTCCCCCACTCTCTCTCTCTAAAAAAAAAAATCACGTAAACATTATATATACTTCTTTTTTTTTTTTGCGGTCGTACTCTTTATTTTATTTTATTTTATTTTTTATTCTTATGTTAATCCCCATACATTACATCATTAGTTTCTGATGTAGTGTTCCATGATTCATTGTTTGTACATAACACCCAGTGCTCCATTCAGTATGTGCCCTCTTTAATACCCATCACCAGGCTAACCCATCCTCCCACCCCCCTCCCCTCTAGAACCCTCAGTTTGTTTTTCAGCATTATATATACTTCTGTTGGCACTTCTCTGTATGGTTAACTATTTGTTTACAATTATGGCCCACAGTTAAATAGACAGCTCTCTGTATTCCCAGTGCCAAACACATTGCCTGGCCCAATGTAGACCCTCAACATTTGTCTGTTAGCTTATGGTAACATATACCTAAAGCCAAAGAACAGAGACTAAGAAAAGAGGAAAAGTTGGAGTAAATGAAAACTTTAAGTTTACTTTTTTCTTTTAAGATTTATTTATTTATTTATTCGAGAGTACATGTGGCAGGAGGGGCAGAGAGAATCTCAAGGAACCCAACGCAGGGCTTGATCTCATGACCCTAAGATCACAACCTGAGTCAAAACCAAGAGTTCAATGCCCAAAAGACTATGCCACCCAAGAACTCGGAGTTTACTTTTCATTACATATCTATTCAAGAAGGCCTATGAGATAATTTGAGATAGTAATCAGAAGGTAAATAAAAAGTTAAATAGTGGAGAGAATTCATTTGAAGTAAACTTATGCCATGGGGATATACTGTAGAAGAGATGAAAGCATCAAATAAATGCTTATAGACTAGATTTTAAAGTTTTACTTATTCATTAATTCAAGAAGTGCTTATTATACTAACTTATAACATACCAGTAGCACATTATATACACACATAATATATATACATATATAGTGTATTATATATACACATGGTATCTATTGTGAATTTATATCATGTGTGCATATATAAACATATCACATGTACATAAACAAATATACACATAGACATGTACAAAATATAACAAACATTCTCTACTTTTATGGTGTTTACAATTTAGAGGAGACATGGTAAACAACTAAAACAAATGGATATGAATTAAAAATGTAATAAGTATGAGGTAAAGGTTTTGTACTTTTTTCCAAAAATTTTTTTACTTAGCTTTATTTCTTTTAATAATTTCTGGAATCAGTGATAATGCTGGTAGTGATAACTGCTGGCTTTTTTTAAAAA